TGTGTGGTTACCCAAGAGTACTTTTTGTTGTTATTCCCCGTGAAAGAAGTTCTTGAGATGAAGCCTGGTTGCAACAAAAGCAATCCAGGCAGGCAGTAAATGTATCACTTGAAGAATTACGGCTCTGTTACGTCATACCCACATTAGAGTAATCACATGTGTTCCCAAGTTGAAAACTCCCTCTTTTAAAAGATTACAGGCTTCCACACGTGATATTTCCACGGGAATAACAAACCTAGGTTAACACACTTAGTCTCGTGTCGATCACGGTCACTGTAGACGGGTGTCGTGCAGGAGAACTCTTAGCGTGAATTGATTAACCATTTACTGTAGGTTTGATAGGCCAGCCTGGATTGCTTTTGTTGCAACCAGGCATCCACACGTGATATTTCCACGGGGATAACAACCTAGGTTAACACACTTAATCTCGTGTCGATGACGGTCCACAGGATGGAGTGGTGGTGGAGGACACTGTGTGGTGTGGTGGGGACGACGTCTTAACTAACCCATGACCGTCAGGATACTACTTAAAATCAGGTTTTTGGGTGTGAAGCGATGAACAGTACAACACTGTCTCACTGTCCCCCCCCCTAAAGGCTGGCTAACATAAACTAATGGAAAATATATGTCCCAGTTATGCCTTGCCGGGTGCCTTATCTCTAATAAAACAAACTTTGGAATTGGTTGCTTCTATATACTTTCACTTGAAGCTGTCTATATTTCAGTTTATTCTTTCAATGTATTTTAAATTGTTGTAATAATGCCGAGGAGGATGGGGTTTCAAAGCTTACATCTCACCTTTAACACCCCCTGTGCAGTCATAACTTTGTATGACCATACGGCATCAAACATGGCCGCGCCCATGGGCCAATTTTGTTTTGAATGTTGAGTCACAACAAATAGTTATTAAACATTGTACTTATGCACAATTAATTTTAAATGATGTACTTTTAGAAGAGATCTTGGGTACTGTTTACTTGTATTTCCCCCAGAAAGTTCCTGTGAGTGTAGCCTGTCCTACTGAGCCGCCAAGCTGCACTGTGGGTCAGGGACGGTATGGTCTACCCCGAGAATGGTCTTTGTCCTCAAGCCTTTGGACAATGTTGGAAGCAACACTTCAAGACACATAAACTATTCTAAGGAAACCCATCCGCGCCCGTGTTGTAAAGGTGCAGAAGATAAAGCCTGCATCTGAAATTGAGAACCTCGCCTATGTAAAGGAAGTACTGAGGGAAACTGTACCTGTTTGGTGACCCGTAAACTTTATTGACAGTGTAAACCATCCCACACTGACTTCTTCTGTAGAAGTGTAGTGACAGCTGTGATGACCACGTTGATTCTCTTGATTATTGGGATGTACTTAAGGCGGCGATTTTGAAAGTTAGCCGTACAGTCAGTACTGTAGTAGAAGGTACAAAGTCTCCTACTACCTACCCTGCTCTGATACATGTAGCAGTTTAATTCCAGTCTCGAGGAACTTGGTAATCCAGTGATAATGTTGTCTTATTATCATTACTTTATTATTGTTTTTTCTTATGTGCATTTCTATTTTTTCTAACGTGTATTTTATTTCATGTATGGTCTGTATTTTTACTTACTATTGTATATTTTGATTTACTTAACATAATTTCCTTGTTTGCATTCCATGTTTTGTAGTAACCTGACTCATCCCAGCACCTCTCCCTCCACCCCAACCCTTCTCCTTCCACCCCCTCTTCCTCTCATTCCACCCCCTCTCCCTCTCATTCCACCACTTCTCCCTCTCCCTCTCATTCCACCACTTCTCCCTCTCCTTCCACTCTCCCTCTCATTCCACCACTTCTCCCTCTCCATCCACTCTCCTCCCACCCCTCCCCCTCTCATAACACACT